AAAAGTCGGTCTGCTTTCTGCCCCACTCAATGACTTCGGAGGCAGACTGGGGTATAGAGGCAGACTGGGGTATGAAGCGGATTAAAAAGGGGGAAGCGGAACGTTTCTTAGGTGTGATGGCTGCCCTGGATTCCTGCCAAGAGATTCAAGAGGAAACTCTACAGAATAAGGTAGCAAGGAGGAAGAAATCGTGGAACGCTGCTACTCATCTCTCACTGTTTGGGCAAGCTATGGTGGTGAACACTTCGCTGATGTCTCTCCTCAATTTTGTAGGCACAGTTCGCTTACTGAGCCCCTCCCTCCTATCTCACTGTTTGGGTGNTCTCACTGTTTGGGTGAGCTATGGTGGTGAACACTTCGCTGATGTCTCTCCTCAATTTTGTAGGCACAGTTCGCTTACTGAGCCCCTCCCTCCTAGCACAGGTTAGAAGACTCTCTGCAAAGTTCATATGGAAACCTAGAGCAGATGGTGAAGAAGGTTTTATGTCGAAAGTGGCTTGGGAGTTGATTACCCAACCACGAGTAGAAGGAGGTCTGGGGAGCAATGATCCAACCAGACAAAACTATCTGCTTCTAGCTAATTGGATAATCAAGGCTGCTAATTGCGAGGGTATCGAACATTGGGTTCCGATGCGAGAATACATTCTGGTAGCAGAATGAGAATTGGATCGAGAAGAGGACGTTTGGATGTGCCTTCAATTAGATTCTTATCTTACCAGAAAGATCAGATCAAGATTCTGGTCAGATGTTGTTAAGCTTGGAGAAGAGTGAAGCCGAATACGGCTCAGCCCAACGACTGCGGAAGAGGTGCTAAACCAACCGCTGTTTGACAATCCCGGTGTCCTTGACACGGGAGGCAACCGGTTCAGAGCAAACAGAGAATCAGGCTCCTTTGGCGACGGATGGATCAAGAAAGGAGTCCTTCGTATTAGAGACCTTTGGGACTCTATAACAGGCCAATGGCAAACCGAGGAGGCTTTACGTGGCAAACTGGTAGGATACCATCAAGTGGGGGAGAAGATGGCGTTATTAATTTCTGCAATCCCCCAGGCTTGGAAAGATCTCCTAGCACCAGAGAGCGTAGAACCGCCTGGTACTTGGTACCTTTCCAAAAACTCCGTTGCACAGATCGAATATTGGAAACTGGAAGCATACACAGCAAATGGAACCTGAATCCTCCACAGATGGGAAAGACAAGCTGGTACAGAACCATTGAAGCTGAATGAGGAAGGCGATCATAGTCTAGGATATCTGGGAACGCGTCAGGTGAGAGTACAGGAGTCTTGAGAAAGGGTAGACCAGCATATTGTAGTATTCGAGGCTTGATCAACCAATCTCTGAATGCAATCCGGACCCAGTGGCTTGGGGATGGCGCGGCCTGGGGAAGGACGGCTCCACATTGCTACTAGATCAAATGAAGTCTACTTCGGACCTCCTACTCCCTACCAGACGCCCAGCGGTGGTGGCAGCGGATAGATGGGAGAATCTTCTACCAGGAACAAGTAAAAGAGTAATCGGAGCCATGAATTGCCTGTGGGAAAGGTAAAAAATACTACCGTCTCAAAGACACGCTGCGATTCTGTGGCTTCTATCCTTGGTAGTCCCACCTTCTGCAGTTTGGTTGGCCGCAAGGGGAATGGATATTCAACTGGCCTGTAAACGCTGTGTATGGCCGTTTGAATCCACTCCCCACCTATGGTGGGACTGCCCAGCTTCTAGGAGAATCTGGGAATGGTGGGCCATGGCCCTGGGAATGGGACCGCACGTGGACTCTGTCGGGTATTTTGTCGGACAATCTCTCATTAACGGAAGGCTGTGGGTATGTCGTTCAAGCATGCAGAGAAATAATCTGCTCAGTTATTTGGGACAATAGGAACAAAGCAGTCTTCCAGTGGAAAGGCACTTCCGAAATTGAGATACAGTCTGCCATTCGTGTTAGGCTCAGCCAATACATCAAGGCAGATTGGAACAAGAAGAACATAAGTGGACAAGGTGTAGGGAAAGGGTTTAGGTGGTTTCTCAGGACTTGGTCTCAGGGCAAGAATTCTAATTGGCTTGTTACAGTAAATTTAAAATGTGAGTTGGAATTCTGCTCGTGCCTTAAGTAGGGCCCAGAATTAATAACCTGGAAGAATTAATAACCTGGACACTCGGTAATGATAAGCCGCAGGAGGCAGGCAGCTATAAGTGGGGTAGGGTAGGTAGCTTACTCTTGGTTTGGCGTTTTTCCTGAGATTGGTTGGTCTTTCTTATTTCTTTTGGGTTCATCTGGGGGCAACCCCCCCCCCCTCCCACCCCCCTTCTTACTAGTCAGGATATTAAATTATGGAATGTTATGGAATGTGGTTGGGAGTGTCAAACAGGTGGATATCTTTTGGTAGTTCAGGTCGTATTAGACCTGGGTAACGGACCTGAGGAATTTGAATTGAAACGGCTTTTTTTTTTTGCAGTATCCGTTCTACGTTCGGACTTGTTCATGGCTGTTGGTATGTAGGCTTGCTGGACAGGAAGAGCAGAGGGCTCGATTGGAAAACAGTACAGCTAGGGTAGACTAACCTGCCTACTGATCGGCTAAACTAAAGCTAGGCTCTGTGCCAAAGCTAGGCTCTGTGCCAAAGCTAGGCCCTGTGCCTAAAGCTAGGCCCTGTGCCAAAGCTAGGCCCTGTGCCTAGTGTTGTGTGCGCACCGGGTTGTTTGTTGACGATTCCGGGCCTCAAAGTCTCATGCTTTGATAATGGATTCTCCACCTTTTCCCGAAAAAAATAAAAATAAAAATAATAATAATCAAAAAAAAAATCGAGTTTGGTACCGTACCGAACGAGCATAACAGGCCACACTGTTTTTTCTCCCCACGAATCCACGATAGGTTTCCTGCGACCTGAAGAACACTGACGGCTGGCCGAACGATCCTGCCAATCGTACAGTGCGCCCTTCGCGCAGAGACCGGCCCTTGGGACCTGCCGAAAACCGCCGGCTCGTCTGGGGATCCTACAGTGCACTGTTCGCGCGC